GTCACAACTTGTTTTAGTCAACTCTAACCAAAATACCTTAAATGAACAATTAGAGGGAGAAAGATTTCTTTTGGCTCATCATTTCAGGGGTCTAAGTCCACAGGTGGCCAGCTCCGTTGTTCTGGGTCAGAGGTGAGGTAGAACTTCATGGTGGAAGGGTGTGCAAGAGGAAAGCAATTCAGGACATGGACAGCAGGGAGAAAGAGAGCTCTGCTCACCACAGACAAAATATACACCCCAAAGGCATGACCCCAGCCACCTACCTCCTCCAGCCACATCCTACCTGTCTATAATCACTGCCCAGTTAATCTATATCAGTGGATTAATCCACCAGTTAGGTCACACCTCTCATAATATTTCACCTTGGAAAATTCTTACACTGCTTACACATGAGCTTTTGGGGTGGAACCTTACATATAAACCATAATACTATTCCCTTGCTAGGCAGGTATGTCCTAGGGCAGGTTCCTGCTCTGTGCCTCAACGTTGCCATCTTTAAAATAGGATCAGTAATAGTACCAACCTCACAAAAACATTGTAAGATTAAAGAAGCTACATTTCTAGAACTCAATACTGTAATATCTCAATAATAAAATCATCATGATCATCATGATTTTTTCAGCTAATTCAACTTACCATAGTTTGATATTTTCCTCTGGTGAAATTGCTCTCATTCCTTCTCATGACTTATGAGCCTGGGTGCAGAACCCTTTACCTGTGATCGTTACTCTGCCTCTCCCAAAATCTAAAATAATATAAAGGAAGTGCTGACTGTTTTAGATCATGGGCTCTTGGAAAATTTTGTTGACAACTCTCCATGGACTTCATGAGAGCAGATTTGAAGAAACAGCATTTCCCGAAGGTTGAAGTCCCAGGTTACATCTTCTTCCTATTCTATGTCCTTCCTCCAAGTCACTGTAACAACCCATGTCCCATGATGCTGAGGACAGAAACGGGTGGGGAGGAGTGCCGATATTTGGTTTTTGTCTTCTGGGGTCAACGGTCAACAGGTATGATAAGCAATGTGGCTGCGGTGAAGACTGTGAGTGTTGGAGCGAGAGAGACGGACTGGCCTGAATCCTGCCTTTGCCACTGTGTTTCTTTTCCTGCCCCCCCGAGACACCTCCTTTCCACATCCCTGTGGCCTGAGATGGCTACCCCACTACTTTTTTTTTTTCCTGTTTCTCCCCTTGTTTTGCTGGAGTCCTTCCTCCTGATGGACTCTTAGTCCTTCCTAAGACAGGAGACAAATGACATGACTTTTTACATATTTGCAGAATAACTTTCTGTTGCCCTTACAATGTGTGTGTGTGTGTGTGTGTGTGTGTGTGTGTGTGTGTGTGCGCGCGCATATACATATATACATAGTGTTTGGTTTCATCGCTGTGATAAAAATGCCCGAAAAAAACCCAACAACACAAAAAACCCTTAAAGGAGACTCACAACTCACTGCTCCAGAGGTTTCAGTCCCCGGCCAGCTGGCTTCATGCTTTTTAGACCTGGAGCAAGGCTGAGACACCATGGTGAAAGGAGTGGTGGAGGAAAGCTGCTCACTTTGTGGCAGCCAGGAAGGAGAGAAAGAGTGGGTGGGTGGGGGGAAGAGACAGGGATGGGGACAAGAAATATTCTTTAAGGACACCCCCAAGTGACCTACGTCCTCCACCCCATTCCCGCCTCCTACAGTTTCCACCATCTCTCAAGAGTTTGTTCAATGATGAACAGTGAATGGATTAATGCATTGAGGAGTTTGGAGCCCTCATCATCCAGCCACTTCCCCGGAGCCCCACTTGTAAACATGGAGCACCACGCCAACAACACATGAACCGTTGGGGACATTTCATACCTGAACCATATGTGTGTGTGCCTGCTCATGTGTACGAGGACCCACCTGCATGTGCTGTGTGTGTAGAATTCCAAGTTGAATAATTGTCCATTGACATTGGGAAGGAATTACTCCCTTCAGAAACAGCAATGGTATTGTTAGGGAGACCTTCCCTGGACTTTCTGAGCTGTTCTTTTTGGAAGTCTGATATACATCTGACTGTTATTCCCATAAATGTGACCTGTCCCTCCCTCCTGGAAACTCTGAGCTTCTTCTCTTTCTCCCCATCGTTCTGGAATTTGGGAATTTTGTTTCTGATGTGTGTGAGTGAGAATGTGCACTCTAGCACATGTATTAATTGTGCTGGGAACTGGGTCGGTAAGTTGGGGAAATTTCCATAAGTTTCTCATTCTCCCTTCCATATTTTCTATTCATATTCTCTCCTCTAACCCTGGAACTTTGTTTAATCATATGTGTGATCTCTATGTGGAACATTAATTTTCTTTTCTTTCCTATTTATACCTCTTCCCTCTCTGATTTTCTGGAAGATTTTTCTTGACTTAATCTTCCATTCTCCTTTGACTTTTAAATTGCGATGATTATAATTCCCAAGGATTCTTTCCTTCCATCTTATTGTTCACACTTTAAGAATTGCCTTGTTTTACAGATGCAGTGTCTTCGTTTGCCTCTCTGAGGATATTAGTATATATATTTTAAGTCCTCTGCTTCCTGCTGGTCCCTGATTGTCTGCTTGTCTTGTTCTTTCTCTTTCTGAAATGCTGAAGCTTTGTTGAAATACCTKGTGCTCCTGTGCTGTGTCTTCATATTTAGGAACCGAGCACTAGATAGCTAATAAGAACCTGCCTTGTGTGCATGGGGTGGAGGGCTGTATCCACTGGCAGGCTTCATAGTGCCCTAGTCACAGAGTGAACTTGACTTTTCTTTGGGAGATCCAAAAATGTCAATCTCTTTCTCCTCCTCCTCCTCTTCTTGATTTAATCCAAGGACGCTAAACCACTGAGCCATATCCCCAACACTTTTTATTTTCTGTTTCGGGACAGGGTGTCTTGCTTAGGGCCTCCTTAAGTTGCTGAGGCTGGCCTTAAACTTTCAATCCTCCTGCCTCAGGCTCCAGAGTTGCTGGGATTATAGGTGTACACCATTGCATCTGGCTGTGGGGATCTTCCTTGTGACTTTCTCTAGAGAAGGAATCTCTACTCTCTCTCCTGCAGTTGAGATTGGGGTTGGTAGGCTGGGCTGAACATGGTTTCTGTTGTTCTGGGAGCAGGAAGATAGAGGCTCACTTCATGGTTCATCTGAGCTCTCCCTGCATTTTCTGGATTCAGTTTCTCTTTTTTTATTGATTTTTAAAAATATATGACAGCAGAATGCATAACAATTCTTACTACACATCTCTGGTTGTACATGAAGTATATTCACACCAATTCGTGTCTTCATACAGGGTACTTTGGATAATGATGACCATCACATTCCACCATCACGATGGTGGATTCAGTTCCTTTAGGAATGAATTCCAGCCTTCTTGACTTTCCTATCCCTTTAAGAACAGAGCCTGCCCAGCACAAGTGACTTCCTATCAGGTTTGCCCCTGTAGTTCCATGAGTGGTACCTTTCTCTAAGTCCCTGTCCTTTGACTTTGCATCTTCTGCAGTTGTGATCTATCATATTTCCTTTCACCTTGTCTCCTCTCTTCCTCTTTCTCTTTGTGAACAAATATTTATTTTATTCCTTTGTATTTTAATGGCGAGGACCAGTGCTTAGTTTTCCCCTCTCTCACTGGAAGTCACTGTGAAGTTTTTCCGCAAAGTTTCCCCGGTGCTTTCAGGCACTGGCTTCTTTTCTCGAGGCGAGTGGTTATCGAGATGAGTGGGCAGCCACTTTTTCACATGGTCTCATTGCTACTTTTTCACATGGTCTCCCAACACGGTCGGCCATTTGTCATGGATGGGAATAAGCCTGTCTGTGCTGACGGAGTGGAATTCAGGGTCTCGGTTTGCATTTACCAGTCTTCCATTTAGTTCTGCCTCATTGGCGCTTCACCTCGCTGTTTGATGGGAAATATTCTCTCCATAAACTTCAGTAAGATGTAATGGATTTCTGCAGTGGAAATATTGTTCAAGCCGCAAAACCAAATCACAGCAGGCACTTTGTCTAGGGACCCGGCATCTAGCAGAGCAGCCATTTAAAACGCCAGTCGTATGAAGCCACAAACAGTCACAGCTAATTCCCTTTACAGGAGTTTTATTTGTATGTATGGGAAAATCACACCGCAAAAAAGAATCATTGTTCTGCTACGACTGCAGTGTTAATTATCTTTGTCAACTTGCGCTTGTAAGTGAACCTCATTCACTGGGTTTCTTCTTTGGGCTACAAAATGGCAGAGCTAGGATGGGTGGGGATGCACAGGATGTTCTTTGAAGCCATTGGGACAGTGTGAATCTGTTAAGAGAGGGATAGCTGAGCCAGCCACCAGGAGGCTAATAGCAGTGGAGCCTTGTGACTGTCATGAGTGAAACCTGACTCAGGTTAGACCCAGGTCTATACTGGTCTCTACCTGTGAATGAGGGAGGGTTGTGGCAGAGAATGGGGAGACCCGTTCCACTCCTCTGGGATTGCACCCCTTAATCAGAGGTTCTCAATCCTTGCTGTGCTTGGGACTTACCTGGAGCGCTTTTGCAATCTTGATGCCAGATGGCATCCCCAGACCAATTGAATCACATCTTTTTGGGGTGGAACCCAGTGTTGTTAGTTTCTAAAGCTCCCAAGTAAAGGAGGGGCAGGGTACAAACTACTGCTACATCATTTTTTTTTTTTAAATCCTGTTATTGCTAAATAAGTAAAGAAGCTGATTTTAAACTTGTATTATTTTGAACTAATTTGGATTTGGGAAGAAGTGAAGATAATTTCTATCACAGTCATTTTGATATACTTTTATTTTACAGCTATTTCCATGGCTAATGGATGGCTAATTCCTAAGAGAATTTGGGTAGGATTCTCTCAATTCAGAATTCAGCACATTCGGAGGAAGTGTACTCTCCTAAAGAACTTTGCTCTTTCGGAGACTGTAGTGGGAGAAATACTGAGGGCTTGGTGGGCATGGCTAAGAAGGACTGGGTGTGAACTCACCAGGCTCCCATGTCTCTTGTGGTGTGTGCAGGTCCTGTGGCTGTCATCAGTGGTGAAGAGGACTCCGCCAGCCCATTGCACCACATCAACCATGGCATCACCACACCCTCATCGCTGGACGCCGGGCCCGACACGGTTGTCATCGGCATGACCCGCATTCCAGTCATCGAGAATCCTCAGTACTTCCGTCAGGGACATAACTGCCACAAGCCAGACACGTGTAAGTACTGAAATAGAATTCTGTCCCTTCTTGGGTGGGAAGGGTGGTGTGGCAACAGACCATGTAGCTTGGGTTCTGGAACCTTCTGGGATGACCTGCCACCTGCCAATGTCCCCCAAACAGACCCTCCCTATTTGTCTCAAAACTTGAAAGATAGCCATTGGGCAGATTCCCTGGGGAAGGGAGGGCTGTCGGGCTGAATCTGGTTCCCACTTTTCTTCACCTGACTAGGGAGAGGTGTTCCCAGTAAGGCGCAGACACAAATAAGGCTGGTCTCCTCTGTAGACCTGGCTTGTATCATTAGAGCACAAAACCTGACTGTCCACATAACAGCCCCCGAGGTCATTAGGGCCTCCACCTGGGCCTCCCCTAGAGGGGAAGGGAATGAAGGGCGGTGAGTACCTAGCTGCCCCTCCAGTGCTCCCAATGCTCACTCTCTGAGAACTGGAGCACAGCAACCCTCACCTCCCCATTGCAGACCAGAGGACTTAGGCCACCYGCTTCCTCCTCATCTCTGACCTCCTGTTCATTCCAGCCCCTTTCTTTACATTTCTCCTCAGCCCTGCTAGGTTCCCCTTCACCCCTTAGAGCTGCAGTGTCTTATCCCTCTGCCCAGCAGTGTTCCCTTTGCTGGGTCTCCACGTCCAACCTGGCTCCAGCAACACCAATGCACACCCCTTCCCTTCCACTGCTCCTGTCCCCGGAAACAATCCACTGCTTCAAGAGAGCAGGCAGAGGCCCCTGGACAGCACAGACACCAGTGACTACGTGAGAGCGGGAAGGGACCCAAGTGATGAGCTAGGTTTAGGCCTTACCTTGTGGACAGGAATTCGGAAGGTCTAGGAGGCTGTGAGATCCTGGTTCCCGCCCCAGGCTGCCTGCAGTGAGCTCTCTTGTCAGTCAGTCCCAGGGTAGGCCTAGGAAGAGGTGAATTCTGCTTTTGCTCATCCTGTGGGCTGAGCTCTCTGCATCTGGGCCACACTCTGAACTCACAGGGCCCTTGCTGCTCCTGCTGGGTCTTCCCTGTACCAGCCCGGACATTTGGAAACCTCATCAGCCTTCGCTTCCATTTCTCTAGCTCTGATTTTTCGTAAGAGGGTCTCCACCGTGGGAGAGACTAGGCTTGAGTCAACATAAGGTCATCATTTGCCTCCCAACATTGAGTATCCTCCACAGTCTGCCTCAGAGTTTATCAAAGGCTCCCTGTCGGTGTCGGAGGAAGGATAGCTGGTGTCTGGGTTAAGCAAGGAAGAAAGATACCTATGTTTCAGATAAGCAGTGGGAAACAGTGCAAAGAATGGTTCCTTTGGCTAAAGCTCTTGTCTCAGATCAGACTTATTCCTGGCCTGGCCCGGGAGTGGCCATCCTATGATGGTAGCGTGGTCCTAGCTCCTCCTAGGGCAGATACTGAGTTTTCTAGGATGCTACTGATATTTGAACAGAGACTTAGCTGTTGCTCTGTTGAGTATATATAGTTGATTCTCATTATTTGAGGTAGTTCTTTTCTGTAAAGTCACTGCAAACAGTGAATCAGAGAACACTGAACCATTTTTCCTAGGGGAGATGCAGTATGAGGATCCTGTGAGCCTCTGGTCACGTTTTATCAGCTGTAGTGTGTTGTATGTGTGTTTCCGTTTAAAGAGGCCTTATTTAAGATGCTTTGTGGACTCGTTAACATTGAACTCAATGGCCAACAGCTCATAACTCATGACTGTTCAAAACTTACCTATTCCTCCGTGAGACTCGTCCTGTGTTTAGGAATACAAGACAGTATAGAGCCATGCTTGGCAGCCATCTTAAAGAACAAAATTAACAAACAAACAAAAAAATGTGGCCTGGAAGAGACCACAAAAAAGATACTTGTTTATAGCATGAAAACTGAAATAAGAATTTCAAAACAATGTGTCATAAGTGATAACTATGTATAATTTTTATTTGCCAATATAAATACATATTTTTTTAGAAGGAAGGCAGAATGTGGCCTTGGTCAGCCTCAGCTGGAAATGTGCCCAGAGCATAACTCAAAATTTTTCGCCACTTTGGGCATGACCCACGTGAAAGCACCTCAAATACTGGTTTTAGGATTGCAAATAAACTTTCAAGAGCAGAGGAATTTGTAAGCACAGAATCTGTGAATAATGAGGATCACCCGCATTCCCATTAGTGGGACCTCTGGGTTTCCAGTTCAGAATACGATCACAGCGCCATCTCTGCTCACCGCAGCTCCTGAGTTCAGGTTATTGGCAACATTTCCGGATGGGAGGAATCTGGCACATTTTAGACCATCAGAGTTATTGTCTGTGGGAACTTGGGAGCCATGGAGAGAGCCATGGGATCTGGTGAGAGTCCTTTGATGTCAGGACACAGTACTTAGCCAAGGAGCCACAGTACCAGGAAAACCTGGAAGAGCCTTCTGCCTAGAGCTCTCTGGGTGTGTGCTTCACAGTGGCCTTTGGAGGGATCTGGACATCCTTCTGTGTAAGCAGGAAGAGGTCAGTGAAAATGCAGGAGAAGCAGGTTTATTGATGGAGATTTGAAAGATGGGGGGAGCAGACAGCGTCTTGCGATGACTCCAGAGTGTCAAAGCCTTCTGCGATGAAGGAAGTACCTTTTGAGGGCAGCGATGCATCTCGCCCTATCAGTGGACAGCGGACGGCTCTAATTGTTTTTCACATAGCACGTGGGGCATGATGAACACTGTGCAGGAGCGTTGTAAATGTGTGTGGCCAATCCTCCCTCTGCTAATCCACGGTGACTTACGCAGACGGGGACAGGGAGCGCCCTGGCCAGCCCTCAGCGGAGATTCACTGGCTCAGTTGCAGCTGGACTCTGATTATCGAGGCTTCACCGATTGAGGGAACTGACTCTGAGACACATCCCTGTGTGTGATGAGACACTGCCATCAATAATTAAAGCCACATGTGCCCTGGCACATAAAATGAGCAGGGAATGTCTGCAGTGGTGCAGACAAAGCTGGGGTCACTCCTTGGGAGGATGGCAAGACTTGAAGTATTAAGAGGAAAATGCTCACATTGTGGATCCCTGGGCTCCCCTGATCTGAGTCCCTTACCTAGTCCCCTTGTAAAATGCATAGTATGGGGAGGAACTGTGGGAACTTGGTGCTCACTGACTTCAGGCTTCGTTTCTCCCGTCTCCTCAGTTCTGGATTGTGCACAAAGCAGCTTTCTGTCTGCACTTGTGTGTTTATCATGAATGGTGAGCTGTGATTAGGAGGCGGGTCCTCTTCATGCTCCTCACTTTCTATCTATCTTCCATCTGGGTCCATGACGCTTGCCATTACATGTCAGGCTGTAAGGATGTTTGGAGATCACCTGGTACAATCCTTTATCAGATGCTTGCGTCCCCCACCTGTGTTCCCAACAATGGCTCTGCATTCGGCATCATTGTCTTTATTCTGAAATTGTTCAGCCTTTCCAGGAATTTAGAATGAAGATGCACCTACTTGACTATGTGTGCCCACGTATAAACCAAATAAGGCCACCCTCATTATTTATGTAAAGCCTCCTGGTTCTCAAATGCATCAGGGAATAGACACAGCCTTCCTTCCCGCCCAGCTGAGGGTCCTGGTCTTTGGGCTGAGTCCTACAGAATGACACACTGAGGAACCTGTCCAGATGGACCACTGGGGAGAAGGGAGAAGGTCTGTTCCCTTGGTTGCCTTGGTCAGCCTGGTGACAGTTCTGGGCTGCAGAACAGTTGTTCGTGGCTATAAGGCTGGCTGCCATCTTAGAAATTGTGCTTTTGTTCTTCCCCATAGGGTGGTTGGAGGGTGTCTTGGATTTCTAAAAGGCTGTCCCTAGGTACCCATTCTCTTGATTGAGAAAGTTGAGGCCGTCGAGGGGAGGTAACCCGTGTCTCCCTTCCCTCCCTCCTTTCTTCTGTCTTCAGGTGAGGACATCTACCTTTGTTCACTATACCTCCACTTTCAAAGGGTCAGCTCCCATCCTGGTCCTCCCACTTCTTTTCTTCCCTCCCCCTGAGGTTGGGTCTGTTGGCTCCTTCTGCTCACTGTAAACCTCTGAGGCTCCCTGACCTGCAGCTCCACCCCTAGTTCTGCTCCCTCGGAAGCCTTCCACTCTCCGTGTTGCTCTCTTTGCAGAACTGGACCATGTTCCTTTGAGGTTTTCATCCTTGGTAGCATTTGGGTCACTTAGGCTGTGCTGACTTTTCTTTCTTTCATATTTTTAAAAACATATTTATTTTTTATTTGTAGTTGGGCACAATACCTTTATTTTATTTATTTATTTTTGTGGTGCTGAGAATCGAACCCAGGGCCTCGCACGTGCTAGGTGAGCGCTCTGCCGCTGAGCCACAACCCCAGCCCTTGACTTTTCTTCTTTCATCTATTCAGTCCATGTTGAGTGTTCGTATTGGATCTTCTTCTGGGCTCTGAAAACAATGGGGAACAAGGACCCTCGTAGCCAACAGAGCTGCTCCTCAAAATGGGGACAGTACCCCCTTGCACCCTTGGAGCCCTTCTCAAGGTCTTGTGCATTTATCTTTCAACTGTCCACTGCTGCCTCTTCCCAGATCCCCATCCCACACCCCCAGCTACTATCATAGTGTGATCTCTGCTTTCAAATGACATCCTGTCTTCCACACCACATCCCCACTCCCGTTTCTTCCTTTCTACACCCTATTCATCCTTTAAAACCTGCCTCATTTCCAGCCTCTTGGGATCCTTCCTAGCCCATCCCCACATGCCTTTTCCTGCCTTCTTTGTAACCCATGGCTTACAGTCAGTGCCATGTATAGTCAGGAGTGACTTTTAACCAGATCCTAGGTCACTCTGCCAGTTCTCAAATATGTGTGTCCTATTACCCAAATCTGATTTGGTATTTATTCCTAGAAGTGGCCATTATGTATCATAATTCTTTATTTTCTGTTTCTACAGAAAATACAGCATGGGATTGGGATTAAAGAAGAGGCTAACTAACGGGGTCAGATGATGTCTGAATCCTTGAATGTTCCCTACAGTC